GTATTTCGTGAGTAAGTGACAAAAATGGCCGGCTTTAAAGAGGTATTAGGCAAGTGCATAATTATAGGCTCAAATTTGTCGCCTACGTTAAATAGTGAACGCTATTTATCAGCGTTATCGGACGAATCGTCGGAAATAAATTACTCAGTTTTTCGGGCATTTGCGTGTGCTAGTTCGAATACTATACTCGCTGTGCTATATAGGCTAGGTTATTTCGACAATTATGCCGAGTTGTTACATATCGCGGGTGAGATAATAGAAATGCGCGAGGCATTTGACCACGAGGAGGAGGATGCAGACGGTCTTATAGCCTTCCTGCTATCAAACCATCGAGGAAACCGCTTAAACGGTAAGCAAAATGCTTATATTTATATTGTACAAATGTAATGTAATCGAATACGCTAGACAGTGATTAATCAAAATTTTCAAAATCATAATTTGTAGATCGAAACACGACTGCGACTGATGAGCGAGAGACTCCCTCTCAGCTTCGAAAACGTCCGGCTGAAGAAGAGCTCGAAACAGGACCTTCGAGTAAGTTTCGCATAAAAATAAAATAAAAATATTAATCTTTATACAAATTCTATATTCAATATTGATAAAATATTAAATTTTAGGACGAGCACGTTCCAATGAAAACGACAGCGAAGCTGATATCATGACATCGCCAGGTGAGATACAAAATTTTAAAAAGAATAAAAATAACGTAGATGTAATTTTTATTTTATTTATAATTAAATTTTTCTTTTGCTTCGACAGTGCAGAGAGGCGGTGGTCAAAATGAAGAAGTGACTTCTGAAGAACGAGCAACGCAACTCCGTAATATCGAGGAAGTAACTGATGAGGATGAGAATGAAGAGGAAGTCGTCGGTGAAGAACGCTGTAATCCCTCGTCGGAGACAGAAGATGGTGAAGAGGAGCCGGAGGTGGAAGAGGAGCAACAACGTCATGAGATCGGCGATATTAATTGTAATTACGTAGATTTATTGGCGAAAAATATGTAACAATTTAGGAGGTTCGATATAATCGGGAGAGAAGTGAGTTTCGCGATACGTCCGATACGCGAAGATTCGAATATTTATCACGCATTAGAAAATGCGTTTCGTGAAATTCACGCGTATGCGTTAAATTTATGCGAACCGGGAGATTATGTGGGAATGTCTTTCCATTCGGCGAATTTATCTCAGGGCCCTGCAGGATTATCCTTTCGTCCGGCTAGAGACATGTCGTATGAGGATATCTGGAAACTCGTGAGTTCAGTAGCGCAGAGTGCTGGGGGGCTCGATATCGCGGAACACTTTAACATTCGCGTTTTTAATGTCACGGTTCCTTCGGGTCGCGGAC